TTTCGACCCGTTTTTCTCTGTATTGAGAAAAGAAGGGGAAAACCCATTTACTCATAACTCACTTATAATGGAAGCCTAGAGGCACTGTATGCAGCAGTCAATAAATGTGTATGTGTAACATTTTTTAAGCTCTACAAGGTAAATTAAGCTCTAAATCTATAAACCTGTCTTTTTGGAAATCACTGGATTTTGGAAATCTTGCATAGCTGCAGAAATAAAAGCAATTCTTGGTTGTAAGCTCAATAATTTAGGCATGTATACATGTCTGTGATTCTATATACATGTCTATAATTTGTCTCTGATTAATAAGATGCATATGTTTGTTGGCCTCTGCAAATACTAACAAGTATTGTGTTCCAGGTGTTGAAGAGGCAAAGTGTGTCGTGCCCTGTCCTTTCGACTGCAGGCTGAGTGAGTGGTCTGCCTGGTCCTCGTGCAGTGCCCCCTGTGGTGGGGGAGTGAAAGTGCGTGCTCGCTGGTTAAGAGAGAAGCCTTTTAATGGAGGACGACCCTGTCCAAAACTGAATGTCAAAAATCAGGTGAGAGTAGCGTTGCTCCAAGTAAATTTCTGCTTAATCTTAATAGGTGGTATCGGTTCTTTTTCACTACACCACTGATTAACGGACTGAACAATCATGATGTTACTGTTGATTCATTCATCTTCATTAACCACTTTAACATGGTCAGCGTTTATCCTTTGTTGCATCTGGAACCTAACGAAGGAATAGTGGCGTAAGATGGGAGAATTGAACCCTTATGAGATTCCAGTCTATCGCAGGCAACACACACACACACACGCACACACACACACACACGCATTCACACACTCTTTCGCATCTTGGGCCGATTTAGAGTAAATTTTTGGCTGCATGTCTTTGGACAGTTGGAGGAAACCAGAGAACTCAGAGGAAACCCACGTAAACCAACAAACAATAACCCAACCACCACCAGTCATTTTTTATGAACAGAATTTATTTAAAGTTGCAGTAACTGCTAATAAAATAAACCTAGAAGAAACTATATGGCACAACATAAACATAAAGGCTGCAAAGCTATAAATAGCAGTGGACCTTTAATATTCCTATTGGAATACTGTTTATGAACTGCATAACCTTCCTTATGGTTTTCATCTGCCTGCATTATATATTGTTTAAATTTAGTCTGCCTCTTCAAGACCCACTGCAGATTTGATCAAATCTGATTTTCCTGAAATAATGCCTATATACTGTACATTTTGTGATGCACCTTCATCAGTTGATTGTTGTATGTTGTTGTAGTATGTCATTGATGCAGGGGCGTAGGAGCAATCATGAACCCGGAGGGACGCTGACAGATTCGGGGGTAGAGAGGTTCAGGGGCATGCTCCCCTGAAATATTTTTTTTAAAATGAAGCACTTAAAATGAGCATTCATTTCTAATCACTTTTCATTGGTTAAATATTTGTAAAATCACAAACAGACATAAAGGGTGACCAATAGCACTGATTTATGAAAATAAATAAAAAATGACGAAATATGGAGATACGATGTTCCTGAATGTATGTTCCTGATGTTCCTGTATGTCATTGAATGAAGTTCAATTTATTCATTAATATTACTCCAAACAGAGATTGTTCGTTTAAAACACTAGATACTATACTCATTTAGAACAGCTGCTAATTAATGTAGCTAGCCACAGTACTTCTTGAGGCATGGGTGCTATCCTGTAAGGATTGCTGTTTATGTTGGTGAGTTGAAGCGTCCCATAAACATCCAACATCGTGTGATGTGAACTTGCTGGCCAACTGGTAGCTATCCATACAATTTACAAGTTCATCCTCCTCAGTCTTTTCTCCTCATATGACCTGCTGTTCATCCTCCTCTGTCCCCGTCCGCTTAAAATATTGTAGGATACTCATCTCTGTGTGAACATTTTGACTAATATTATCACCATTACATCGTTTATGGAAACATAACAATGACACATACACACAATTTTGGTATGCTAGCTAGCTTTCAAACTTGTGCATATTTGACAGTTTCATAGACTACATAATTATTTCGACAACAAAATTGTCGATCAAAACCAGCAAATAATCAGTAATTTAATAGGCTGCAATAGCTACGATATCCTACCTCAAATACAATGTAGTAAACCTTTTATTTATACGTTAGTGTGCTACCACCCTCACCTCAGGACACGAGGGGTTTTTTTGTCTCAGATGGTCACGGAATATTCGAGTCATCTCCAAATGAATCCATTTCGCTTTCACTGTCTAAGAGTAGCCACCTCTTTGAAAAATCATACTAGGTTTTGCTTGTTACCTTGCAGTGACAGACACTTTGATCTCGTCAAGCTTGGCAACAGGCAAACGGTTCAGCGAGCCCTTGCTGCTAGATTCTTACTCATATTATAGCAGAAGTTCAGGGTTTCTTTTATAGAATTATGTTCTAAAAGTTGTGGAATGGATTTATTTGGAGATTGTGCAATTCAGAAATCCTCGGAGACAGGCAGATAATGTGAAATATAAATTTGAGATTAGGAAAAAGTGGGGGGACAAAACCTAGATTTTGAAACATGGGGGGACATGTCTTCCCCACCCCCAATGTATAATGGCTCCTACACCCATGCATTGATGCCATGTCAATGGTTTAGTAGTTGAAATAACTGGATGGGTGGCAGAAAATACAATTAATAGATTTGGGGTATTCTTGTACTTAATTGCGTGAATCTCTAGCACATGGCATTTATATCTGTCAATTTCTTATCTGGATAATGGTAATAAACATGGTGAGATTGTTAGCCTTCTATTAATTACAACATTCATATGATGTTCGATGGGTGAAGCTGCAGTGAAATTTTGCTTTTATTTTGTTACAGATAAAACAGTTGAGCCAGTTGTATTTAGTTATCAGTCATGTTGTATAAAATGGGACGAGAAGGCTTTGCTTGACGTCAGGCATTGTTTTGGATAAGACAGGGTCCCAAAAAGGTTAATATAATATTGGTCCAAAAATCACACTGTGCTGACAGATTTCAAATGCTGCTTGTTTTGCTACACGACCTGCATCAGCTCTGGTGTATGTATTTCTTCCCATGAAAATAGCAACTGGAGGAGAAAAGAAAAAACAATGCTTATGTATGTGCTTGGATGAAAATAGAACAGCAGTTTCATGTTCATAAGTGCATTTCAGGTCTGTGTGAGTATGAGAGAAAACCGCACACAAGAGAATGGGGTGTGAAAGTGCAGTTTTTGGTACGTTATGAACAAGCCGGTCCCCTAGCTGCCACCACTGTTAAATGTCGGCCGGAAGTTTTAATACATAATCATTTGTAAAAAAGAAAAAAAAAAAAAAAAACGTCAAAAAAAATAATTAAAATACTAAGCCGGTCCATGTGTGTCATCAACCCACCCAACGATATGAGCATCATGAGCCAAACCCAGCCATCATGTGGAGAGGGTGTCCAGACCCGGAAAATCAGGTGAGTTTACTTCATCACCATGCCCCATTTGCCATTTTTCTTGCATCATCGCCGATACTCAAAGTGTTCCCAGCCCCTTGGGATAAGCCGATACTCATCAGTGAGGTTTTTGCTGTGTGCTCTGACTTTAAGAATTACTTTCTTAACCAAAGCTGTACCTAATTGAAATTCAGCTCTTTAAATATATATATATATTTTTTTTTAAATAAAAAAAAAGACTGGAGACATCCTGTCCTTGTCAAATGAAAAGATAGGCTCATAAATCTATGTTCAAAATGGAGAACAGGATATAACACTGACAAATAGATTGATGAGGACAAAGTCCTATTTTTCACAAAGGACTAAGGTTACAACTGGTGCTACAACATCTATGACATTGAGATTTATTTAGCATGCGAGTTAGGTTTCCATTTGACATGGGATAATTTAAGCAGGATCAGTAGGATGTTTGCGCATCCTACTGATCAGATATTTGTAGTATCACTATCTTTAATTTAAATACATGCTATAAGAGGAACAACTCACTCTATGACTGTTTATTTTGTTGTCTTTATGATTATATTGCCTAGACCAGTGGTCACCATATCTGTTCCTATAGATCTACTTTCCTGAAGACTTTAGCTCCAATCATAATGGTGTCCACCTAACATCTTTGTCTTTAGAAGTTCTTGATCAACTAAAACAGGTGTGTTAGATTTGGGAAGTATATCCCAAGGAATTGGGTTAGTGACCACTGATGAAGACAAACCTTTGAGCTCATGAATAAAGTTTCATGAATCTTCCATTGCATGATGGGATCTTTAGGTGTGTGAGGAAGGAAGAGGACAGACGCAGCAGCGTGAATGACTCTTTGTGTGGCCAGGATGATCGGCCAATCACTGCTCAAGCCTGCTACCTGCCTTGCCCTGGCAAATGCGTTACATCAGAATGGAGCCCGTGGAATGAATGCCCTATGGTGAGTGACCGATTGATATTCTTATATCTGAAAGGATAGGAATGTCTGACAGTTTTGACTTCTGTGGGGACATTTAGCAAGGTCCACACATGGAAAACTGCCTTTTCACAAAAACTACAACAACAAAAAAGCTGAAAATGTTTCCTTTTGGTTACTGAGGTTAACGTTGTGAGGTTAAGGTTAGATTTAAGTGTAGTATAGCATTAAGTAGCTTATTAAGACTTATGTCCGTGTGTGTGTGTGTGTGTGTCCGTGTGTCCGTGTGTGTGTGTGTGTGTGTGTGTGTGTGTCTACAGGGCTGTAATGAGAAGGAATTAAGATGGAGGAGTAAAAGAGTATTGAGGATGCCAGGAAGAGGACACACCTGCCCTGAGCTGAATCAGACTCAGTTCTGTACCAACACTACCTGTCTCTCATACTCCTATGCTTATTCAGGTACTCGTACACAAAAACACACTGTTCTTTCCATAAAATTAGTACACTTACGTGTACTCACATATGCCCTTATCCAGAGAAACTTACATTTATCCAACTGAGCAGTCAGAGGTTAAGGGCCTTGCTCAAGGGCCCAACAGTGGCAGCTTGGTAGTGCTGGGATTTGAACTCCTGACTTTCCAAGCAGAAGTCAAACATTTTAACCACTAAACAACCACAGCTAGTGTTTATAAAAATATATATATATATATATATATATATATATATATATATATATATTAGTGTTTATAAAATTCTAATATTGGGCGGATGTGGGGCAGTTGGTAGAGTGGGTTGTCCACTAATCGTAGGGTTGGCGGTTTGACTCCCGGCCCGGGTGACCCCACATGCCGAAGTGTCCTTGGGCAAGACACTGAACCCCAAGTTGCTCCCGATGGCAAGCTAGCACCTTGCATGGCACCTCTGCTACCATTGGTGTGTGAATGGGTGAATGAGACACAGTGTAAAGCGCTTTGGATAAAAGCGCTATATAAGTGCACATTTACGATTTACATTTACCATATTGTCTAATAGTGTAAACTATTATAATATAACTTTATACAGTGAGGGAAAAAAGTATTTGATCCCCTGCTGATTTTGTACGTTTGCCCACTGACAAACAAATGATCAGTCTATAATTTTAATGGTAGATTTATTTGAACAGTGAGAGACAACAAACAAATAACAACAAAAAAAAATCCAGAAAAACACATGTCAAAAATGTTTCTTGTAGTTGGCCACCAGGTTTGCACACATTTCAGGAGGGATTTTGTCCCACTCCTCTTTGCAGATCTTCTCCAAGTCATTAAGGTTTCAAGGTTGACATTTTGCAACTCGAACCTTCAGCTCCCTCCACAGATTTTCTATGGGATTAAGGTCTGGAGACTGGCTAGGCCACTCCAGGACCTAAATGTTCTTCTTGAGCCACTCCTTTCTTGCCTTGGCCGTGTGTTTTGGGTCATTGTCATGCTGGAATACCCATCCACAACCCATTTTCAATGCCCTGGCTGAGGGAAGGAGGTTCACACCCAAGATTTAACGGTACATGGCCCCGTCCATCGTCCCTTTGATGCGGTGAAGTTGTCCTGTCCCCTTAGCAGAAAAACACCCCCAAAGCATAATGTTTCCCCCTCCATGTTTGATGTTGGGGATGGTGTTCTTGGGGTCATAGGCAGCATTCCTCCTCCTCCAAACACGGCGAGTTGAGTTGATGCCAAAGAGCTCCATTTTGTTCTCATCTGACCACAACACTTTCACCCAGTTGTCCTCTGAATCATTCAGATGTTCATTGGCAAACTTCAGACGAGCATGTATATGTGCTTTCTTGAGCAGGGGGACCTTGCGGGCGCTGCAGGATTTCAGTCCTTCACGGCATAGTGTGTTACCAATTGTTTTCTTGGTGACTATGCTCCCAGCTGCCTTGAGATCATTGACAAGATCCTCCCGTGTAGTTCTGGGCTGATTCCTTCCTGTTCTCATGATCATTGCAACTCCACAAGGTGAGATCTTGCATGGAGCCCCAGGCCGAGGGAGATTGACAGTTCTTTTGTGTTTCTTCCATTTGCGAATAATTGCACGAACTGTTGTCACCATCTCACCAAGCTGATTGGCAATGGTCTTGTAGCCCATTCCAGACTTGTGTAGGTCTACAATCTTGTCCCTGACATCCTTGGAGAGCTCTTTGGTCTTGACCATGGTGGAGAGTTTGGAATCTGATTGATCGATTGCTACTGTGGACAGGTGTCTTTTATACAGGTAACAAGCTGAGATTAAGAGCACTCCCTATAAAAGTGCGCTTCTAATCTCAGCTCGTTACCTGTATAAAAGACACCTGGGAGCCAGAAATCTTTCTGATTGAGAGGGGGTCAAATACTTATTTCCCTCATTAAAATGCAAATTAATTTATAACATTTTTGACATGCATGTTTCTGGACTTTTTTGTTGTTATTCTGTCTCTCACTGTTCAAATAAACCTACCATTAAAATTATAGACTGATCATTTCTTTGTCAGTGGGCAAACGTACAAAATCAGCAGGGGATCAAATACCTCTTTCCCTCACTGTAGATACTATACTGTATATGTGTGTATGATTCAAAGACTGGAGCAGTTGTCAGCTCAGTGACAATGCAGTATGTGGCCAAGGAACGAAGACACGTCTGCTGAACTGCATTGATGGTGATGGAAAGCTTGTGGAACTCAGCATGTGCAAGGAGGTGATGAACACATTTCATTCCAGTATTTTACCATTATTTTGTTCTTACGTCCTACTAAATAATTTTTGTCAATGTGTCTATGTGAGGAATTTTAAACACTGATCTATACAATTCTTGTCTGTGATCTAACACCAGTGGGGTCCTTCACGAGGGAAGCTATCTGCTCCATGTGAAGTGAGCTGTCCTGTGGACTGTCTGCTGTCTGACTGGTCACTCTGGTCCGAGTGCTCACACACCTGTGGAGCGCAAAGTATGACGACACAATTCAGCAGATTTATTTTAAATGCTCCTTGTAATGTTATTCCTATTCTAATCCTATCCTACTTCACATATAGTGTTGTTTTGGCAGATTTTGGTATAGCAATGACTGTCCTGCTGTTGTCATGACAGCTGCCATATTGTCTTCTTACATTACATACTAATTTCTGCTTGTCAGGTGCTTGACACTGCTGTATGCTCTAGTGTATGTTTTTTTTATTATTATTATTCTTTTTTATTACTTACCTAGTACCATGTAGGAAATGTCACTTGACAAACCTTTTTTAAAATAATTGATTTATAATTATTATTTTATATATAGCAAAAATTTTATATTTTATAGCAAAGCTTTTTTTAACATATCTTATGGTATAAACTTCAGGGTGGCATCACACCACACCAGCAGTGATTATTCTCCTGTAACAGCATGCCTCATTGTGTTTTATTCCTCTATATTTTTTGCATTTATACACTGTATGACCAAAAGTATGTGGACACCTGACCATCACACCCATATGTGTCCATAACATAACATAAGTGCTGTAACCAAGGGAGGCTTAGTGGTTAGCATGTTTGCCTTGCACCTCCAGGGTCGGTGCTCAAATGTTTCCTCTGCCTTGTGTGCATGGAGTTTGTGTACATGTTCTCCCCGTGCTTTTGGTGATTCCTCCAGGTACTCCGTTGTTTGGCATTTCCAAATTGTCTGTAGTCTGTGAAATGGTGTGTGAGTGTGTGTGTGCGATAGAGCCTTTTGATGGGTTCGTACCTCACCCAGAGTGTCTCCTGCCGTGTGTCCCAGGTTCCCTGGGATAGGCTGCAGGCTCCCTGTGACCCTGTGTAGGATATGTGGTATGGAAAATGGATTGAAGGATGAATGTTGCCACAAAGTTTGAAGTACAAAATTATATAGGATGTATATGTATGCTGTAGCATTAAGAATTCTCCTTTACTTGAAATAAGAGGCCCAAAATAGTGTCACTGTGCACAAAGCAGGGTCCATGATAACATGGTTTGCCATGGTTGAAGTGGAAGAACTCAGAGACCTGACCTCAACCCCAATGAACACCTTTTCGGATAAACTGGAACACCGACTGCACCCCAGACCTCCTCACCCAACATCAGCCTGACATCACCAATGCTCATGTCCTGAATGAGCACAATTCCTCACAGGCACGCTCCAAAATCTAGTGGAAAGCCTTCCGTGAAAATTAGAGGTTATTAAAGGGGGACCAAATCTATAATATGTTTCTATAATATGTTTCGCAAGCACATATGTATGCCAGGTGTCCACATATGTTTGGCAAAGTCTAGTTACATTTGACATTGTGGAACCATTAGAAGTTCTTAAGAAGTTAGTTCCTGTTAACACATATGTTATAACAGCTCTAAAGAGTCATTCCCAGTCTCACCAGCCTAATATATTTTTTAAAAAGTTAACAAGACTTCTTCCAAAACTGCTAAATAAACATCTCCCACCACATTTTCACAGAAAACCACCACATCAACAATTACACATGTATCTGTTCACACAATATTGTCAGAGCTGCTGTTATAGAAAACTGACAAACCAATCAGATTTGAGAATTTAACAGTACTGCAGTATAAATACTGTAAATGATATAGTGTCCCAATAATTATGAAAAATAGAAGATATCAGATGAGGCAATGGCAATGAAGCAACTTAATATGTTCTGATGCTTTGCCTGGTGTAACTTACCATCATTTAAATGAACAAACATTAATTAATCATAATTGAAAGAGCAACTCTGTGTTATGTTATTTACCTGGCTTTCACATTCACTGCCACATCAGTACGTACTGTTATTTCTGTACAGTTGTTGTGGTTACGAAGAGTGTTATATCATTCTGTTCTTGTCACTTTTAATTAAAACATTTGCATCTGCTTTAGTCTATTACATTACATTACATTACATTTATTCACTTAGCAGACGCTTTTATCCAAAGCGACTTACAAATAAGAAAAATACAAGCAAAAACTACATACTTACTTGTTGCATACATTCTTGTAATTCCTTTTTACTAATATTCATATAGTGACTGAATAGGCAAACAGAAATATCGGTCCAGCCCAAGATGATAATTATGCTCACTGCCTTGTTTGCATTTCAATATAGTAGAAAATGACTGTCAGGAGCACTTACTTGAAACGCAATCATTTTTGGCCAAATATGTGATTGGCACCTCCCAGCCAATCAGAAGTTAGTATTTTCTGTCATCTGTCAATAAATATATGCTGAATAGAGTACACATATTAAAAATTAGCAGTCTAACACAGTGGTACTTCAAAAAGTTTGTGAACTCTAGATTTTTCTATATATCTGCAGAAATATAGACTAAACATCATCAGATTTTCACCGATTGTTCACAAGTCCTAAAAGTAGACAGAGAGAACCAAGTTAAACAAATGAGCCAAAAAATATCATACTTGGTCATTTATTTATTAAGGATGAAATGATCCAATATTACATATCTGTGAGTACACATGTTTGTTGAAGTGTATCATGGCATGAACAAGATTTTTGAGGACCTCAGAAAACATGCTGTTGATGCTAATCAGGCGAGGAAAAAGTCACTGTTAGAGATCTTCAAATCTCGTTCATGCCCTTTCAGCCTTATATTATACTTAACTCGTGCTGCTATGAGCTAGAAAGTGTGATTTACCACAGAGAGTTCAGGTGCACCTGGAGGA